GGGTTCGGGTTCGGTTTTGGTTTGGGTGGATTGAGAGGAGGGGGGTCATCGTTGCCCCCATCGACGGTGCCACCGGTAGCGACAGTCTGGTCAGATTTTTCAGCTGGTGGAGCAGGAGGGACAGGGGATGCCGCTGCTGGTCCACTCGGCGTGGATGTTATTGGTGGTGCTGCAGGTGCTGGTTCTGCTTCTGCGTCCTCTTGTTTCGTATTCTTGTGTCCACTGACATCGACTTCACCTGTAAGTTCAGGGGGAAGGGGAAGGGAAAGAATGAAGAATACGATAAAACTGAAGTTTTGAATTGGATGCAAGGTTATGGTTGTTGGATGATCGCTTACGGTCGGCACCATGGATGCATGTTGCGACGTGAACGATGGGCAGGAAGCACGGAACGGCGGGGACTGGCGTCGGGGCATGGCACGGGGGTAGGGTGCCACCACGGGAAAAGACTCTCTCTCTCGCCAACGACACAAACAACACACAGACACAGTGTGTGTGTCTGTCTGTCTGTCGACGTCTGTCTCTACCGGCAGCTACCTGCCGCGGCCGACCCATCGCTCTGCTCATTCGACGTGTGGTTTCGCTCGCTCCGTGTTGTCTCTCCCTCTGTCGCCGGAAAAGTTGTTTGTTTGTTTTTTTTTATTTCTCTTTTGGACTAAATGAAAAGGAGGATAGTGTTGTCCTTTTTTTTTTTTGTTGTTTTTGTTCTGCTGTGCGGCCTGTGCCCTTAGATAACCCAGCGAGGGTACTAGCATAAGGCATCCAGCACGTTGTCAACACCTCCGGCGGAGCCGTGGCGGCTGCTCCTCTGTGGACTGTCGCAGGTACCTGTGGAAGATGTCGCTCTCTCGTGCTCCCTGATGGTCTTAAGTATTTCACATGAGGCTTCACCGGGATAGGAATAGGGAACGCTCGTGACACTAACGAGGGATCCTTCATGTGTCTGTGCACCAGAGGCCGAAGAACTGGACTGCTCGTCCTTACACTCTTCCTCACCTGTGTCATCCGTCGATTTCCCTGCTGGCGGAGGCGGTAGCGGAAGTGCAGCAGGAGAAGGTAGTAGTGTTGGTGGTGGGGGTTGTTGTCCAGGTCCCGGTCCGTGACCTTCACCTACTCCAGTTTGCGATACTACGGTCGTGTCGCCAGCTCCTGGATCCGATCGTCCTGGTGATTCTTCTACCGGTTGCGTCATCTTCGCTGGTTTTGTCGCCGCCGGCTTGGCGGCCGCCGCTGCTCCAGCGCCTGCAATGACGGAAGAAAGACAGATAGAAAGATGATAAAAAAAAAAAAGGACACAAGTGGTACAGAAAGAAGGGCCGGCACGGTGCGGTCAGGTAGCGGCACGGTAGGGGCGGGACGGTGTTAGAGAGCGCGCACGTTGTTAGAAGAGGACAAAGACAGGAAGAAAGGGGGGCGCACTCGGTGCACTGGGTGAGGCGGCAGCACGCGTACGGTGAGGTGGACTGCGTACTCGGTGAACTCGGGCTAGATGGTAGTAGTACATTTTTATGTGGTTGCCGTCATCTCGTGTCCTCTTCCATCGTCGCCGCACACACACACACAGACCTCGTGTACATACTCGTCGTCGCCGCGCTCGCTCAACGTCAGCGAAGTGGGGCAGCTGTCGTCGTTTGCTGTTCCGCCGCGCGTGTGCGTTGTTGTTGTGTTGTGGCAGCGTGGCGTTGTTGTGGTGGCATCCATGTCGGTACCGTGCGGGCCGTGTATTAATGTTATACCGTATCGGTACGGTCCGTATATTCGTATTTGGCCGTACTAGTTTCCTTACCTTTTGCAATTTCTTGGTCTATTTTGTCCTTTACCTTCTCAATGACCTTCTTGGTTTGTTCTACCACTTTTTTCTCTATTTCCGTCACTTCATGTATTTCTGCCTCCTCTATAACCTCATGGTCAGTACCGCCCTTCTCCTGTTTATAATTTTTCCAATTTTTATCACAAGGCATTTGTCGTTCCATCTGTGCTATGTCTTCCATTATTCCTTCCGTCAGTAACCATTCTACTATGTGTCCATTTATTATGCCCAGCTGCGTCATACTACCTTTATAGCCACATTGTGTGCATCTTCCATCCATAACAGGACCCGGGATTGTCACTGCACCAGGTTTGTCGTCTCTGCCCATTTTCTTCATTGTTTTCCAAGCGTACTCTACACCCCGCTTCCATGTTCCTTCGTTTTTACAATACTGATTCTTGAGCATGTATCCAAATACGTTCGCTACCTCGCACCTCAGCGCCGTCTGCGTCGAGTCCACAGGTATACTTGTGCCTTCTGCAGTTTTGCCTTGTGCGTTATCACCGTTTGCAAACCACAATGCTCCTGTCATAAGTCTGCACCTTATGACGTCAGCTACTGTTTGTGCCTTATGTAGGTGATCATGACCGAAATCATCCCAACCAGAATTATCACAGTTGGCACCGTATGCATCCATCTGGTCCGTGTGGTGCTGCATATAATCAATAAAGGCCTGCAATGCGGTCTTCATTTTTTGCAGTTCATCACTCTGTATTGTGTGCATGGGAATATAGGAATATGCATGACTACAGTTCATCTATATTGTACCCACCAGGAGCGTGGACACACTGTGATATATACATTTAACTGTATGAATAGGTTTTTGTTCGTCTTCTTCCCTCTTTCCTTCACCTAAACTTACAGTATAATAACGCAGCACGTGTACGGTCCTCTTGGGCGCGGCCAATATGCTCTGCCATTCACAATTATCTCCTGTTCCGGCCTGCTTCCCCTTCTCGCGGGCAGCACCCTTACCAGCCGGACCACCACCACTACCACTACTGCCACTACCACCACCAGATGATGTCGTCGTCGTTGCCGGTGGTACCGGTTTCGCCGCTTCTGGTTTGGCAGCGGTGGCCGGCTTGGCCGGTGCTGGTTTGGCAGGGGCGGGTGTGCTAACGGTTTGCGCAGTTCCCGAGTCCCCCGCTCCCTCTCTGCCCTGACCGTCTGGTGATGATGGCATGGATGGTCCGTGTTCTGGTGGAGTTGTCGAAGCGGAGTCCTTCCCCTGCTTCACCTTCTTTATTATATTCTCCATACTTTTTCCCTCTGGGGATTTATCTATTTCCTTCAATATTTCGTTCACTGTGTTCTCTATTTCTGTACCCAGTGCCTCAATTTTTTTAGTCGCTTCTTCCTTTATGTGTTCTGCAGTCTTGTCTTTTTGTACTATGCATTCCGTCCCCAAGACGCCCTGCTCCCCATCTCTCAAGTATCCCTTATGCCTCTCAAGCCACCTGCCCATTATGTCCAACAATGTCCAATCTTCCGGCCTCTTGCTCCTGTCACCCCCTGGTGCCATATCTACTGTTTCACATGTAGAATTACGTTCCGCTGTGCCCGTCGTATCCACGAATGCCTGTGCAGCGTCGAATGCGCGTTTCCCGCCTGCGGTCTGTACGCACTTCTCTCCCAGTATCCTTTTCATAAAGATATTTACTAAAATACACCTCATATAAAGGTCCACCTCATTGTTGTCCGTGCCTAGTTTCGTGTGCCTTGTACTTGGAGCATCTAATGTGATTCTATGTTTAAAAGTTAAAGCTTTAAGTGCCAACTCGCATACTGCTTTGTCCCTCAGAGTCAATGCCCCCTTCGCTGCCTCCCCCTGCCTCTGCTCGTGCCAGGTCCCACACAGGTCTTCTAGTATTAAATCATGGTGCACAGTGCCCATATGTGTTTTAAAGTGCTGCCATACCATCTCCACATTTTTCCAGAATAGTTTCTACAGGTATAATATTCATTATATATCCATGTATAAACTACACTACATTGCGTGTTCTCCTTCCCTACATATACTCTTACATATCACTACACTCCTCTGCTGCACATATACTCTCTTCTGCTCATGTACTCTGAAGAAATTATATGGGTCGACAATATGCACACGCACATCTTTTTCGCGTGCTCTCGCATTTAGCCCGAATATACTCATGTATTACTAGTCATATTTGTTCCTCGCATTCCTCATATATATAAGAACTTACGTTAAACTCCTTATCAGTCGTTTTGACTCCAGTATCCTTGTTTTTAATATATTCTTCCCATAATGTTTCTGCATATTTCGCCATGATCTGCCTACGCTGCTCACATAATATATCGCTGCCTCAGAGTCTTATTTGAAGTGGACATGAACATAATGTTATCCGGCAGGAGTATAATTCCTTCCATGGATATCCTACTTCCTACATACTTAAAATATGTACACGTCTGCACTGAATTGCGTAATAGCAATATCCCTAACATAAATCCTTAACCCGAGCAACATTAAGCACAATAACCCCACTTAACAACAAATATCCCCTGTCTACACTAAAACCGCAGTAATAACAACAACATAAAATTTTTCTTCCGTCCACGCCTCTCCGTCAACGCTTCTCCCCGTCAACGATTCTCCGGGTCACGCCGTCTCCGTCCACGCCGCTCCCGTCCACGCCTCTCCCGTCAACGCTTCTGTCCGTCAACGCCTCTTCCGTCAACGCCTCTCCCGTTAACGCCTCTGCGGTCACCCCGCTCTTCGTCACACCCCGTCTCCGTCAACGTCTTCTCCGTCAACGCCTTCTCCCGTCAACGCGTCTTCCGTCAAAGCCTCTCCCGTCAGCGCCTCTTCCGTCACCCCGCCTTCGTCACCCCGCCTTCGTCACCCCGTCTCCGTCACCCCGTCTCCGTCACCCCGTCTCCGTCACCGCGTCTCCGTCACCCCGTCTCCGTCAACGCGTTCTCCGTCACACCGTCTCCGTGAACGCCGTCTATCCGTCAACGCCTCTTCCGTCAACGCCTCTGCGGTCACCCCGTCTCCGTGTACGATTCTCCGTCAACCAAGTCTCCGTCCACGCCTCTCCCGTGAACGCCTGTCCGTGAAAGTTTCGCCGTCACCCCGTCTCCGTCACCCCTTTCTCCGTGAACGCCTCTCCCGTCAACGTGTGTCGCGTCAAGGCTTGTGCGTGCGGCTGCCGCGGTCTTGGTGCTGTCAGAGAAAGGGGGGAAAAAAGTACACTACACTACCTACTCCCTGACAACGCCATAACAAATAACTTCCGACCTAAGTCATATCAACCCACATGTTGTATATATATATATGTAACGTCTGCAACCCAGGCCCCATAGGTATATTAGTAGAGGGGGACAGCATAACAAGCAACAAACAAAAGCAAAGGCAAACAGAAGTAAGCAGAACAGAGGACAAACAAAAAAAAAGCATAAAAAGAAAAAAAAAGAAGGGTATAGTATAATGTGAGCATAGTAATACATAATGCATATCTCTGAGTGAAGAAAAATCAAATATTATGATCATGGGTCTCTATTTCCAGTCATATGCGCCGTCAGCCGAATGTCAGAGCTTTGCCAATAGGGCATCCACATATAACTCCGTATCCTGCATACCCCTGACTTCATGCTAATTGCAGAGCTTTTGCAATAGTTCATCTACATATAACTCCGTCTCCTGCAGACGGCTTTCAAGCTCGCACTGTTCTATGACTAAGGCCAGGATCAGTATCAATGTTTTAGCGGTTAACCGTTTGTTCATGTAAAGGTGCTGATGCAGTTGCGACCGTGGTAAATCTCGGACGCTATCTTCTGCTTCCATTACTTTTTCCACTTCTAAGTCGTTTCCCACTCCAGGTACGTCGCCGTTTTGCGGTACTGTCTGGTCCTCTACATTATTGAACAAACGTTGAAACCACGCCTCGTGGCTATGTACACTCATTTTCCGATGTTGTTGCGCTACCCATGCTTTCCACAACCACAGTTTCATCATCGGCAGGGTTGCCAATTCACCGAATGCACGGTGCCCGTTGTCTGCGTCTGCCGCCATGTGCTCGCGCAGATATTGTTTCCAATCCGCTTTTAATTGCAAAAACCACGGCTGCGTCGTGCAGTCCTGCAATAGGTGCTTGTTGCGGTCAATGCAGTTAATCCAATGGGTGCACGCCGACGTCGCGTGCGCGGGGTTGGAATGAGCATTCTGTTCTGCATCTAACTGTATGTGTTGCATACAACTCCATGGATCGGGGTCGTGTGCATTCGGTGCACAAGGGTCCGTTTCTAACTGCATGGTTTCCATACAACTCCATGGATCGGGGTCGTCGTTGTTAGGTGGGGAAGGGTCCGGTTGTAATTATATGGTTTCCATACACTTCCATGCATCGGAGTCATCTTCATTAGGTGGACAAGGGTCCGTTGCGAACTGTTTAGTTTCCATACAACTCCATGGATCGCAGTCATTAGGTGGAAAAGGGTCCGTTGGTAACTGTATGGATTCCATACAATGCCATCGGTCATGTACATTCGGTGGACAACGGTCCGTGTCGAAGTGTATAGTTTCCATACACTTGCATGGATCGGGGTCGTGTTCATTAGGTGGACATCGATCTATGCCGTCGGACTCGGTGGAGGAAACATTGGTCCCTGCAGAACCGTGTTCTGCGGTGGAAACACCCAAGATGTTGTTATTCGTGTCGTCGTCCCGTATCATATCCTGCGCAAACTCCTGTGCAAACTCCTGCACGACAATCTTCCAATAGTCGTCTTTGACGTTTTCCCATTCCGCCGCTTCACATTCGTTGAGCACTTCTAGATGTAGCTCGATAATCGTGCGCCTATGCACGCGTGGGGGGCGTCCTCTAGCGGATGTGGACGCGGGCCGCCTATCCCGAACCATGGTGTACCAGTAAGCGGGTGGCGGTAGTTCGCCGCGTTGTAGATGGTCTAATATTTCTTCGTCGAGTGGCCGTGACGGCACGTCACGAACGGTTCGATATGTTCGTCGTCGTTTGGCGAGATAAGCAAAGTACTGAACAAACAAAAAGAACAAGCACGATGTAGAAGAGTGCATTTGTGTTAGAATGATCGTACAACAGACCCCGTTAGGAACACATTGGTCTATGGTACATATGACGGATATGTATACACGGTGTCGCGTATATACTTACCTTCCATAGGGAATAACCAAGAAGGGCGACGATAACGGAAGCGAGAAAAAACAGCACGGGAGTAGTGGCGGTAAGGACCATGCCGGTCAGGTCGGGGACAGCATAGTCACGTGGAGTCTCACCGGATGAACTGACTTCTCCATCTGCTGGAACCGGTGGTACGAATCCTCCTGTGGCACCTTCTATGTTGAGTGCAGGTGAAGCGAGGTCAAGTTCGAACTGCTTAGTGCCCCCCTGGGTAGTATTCCCTGTGTCCTGATCATTCTGATTACTGGAGCCAGAGGTTAACTGACTACCACCACCTCCACCACTACTACCTCCTCCACCACCACTACCACCTGCCGTTACTTCCCCACCAGAAACTCCATCCGCCAAATCAGCATCACTGAAACTGCCACTACTACCCGATTGATTTGGGTTCGGGTTCGGTTTTGGTTTGGGTGGATTGAGAGGAGGGGGGTCATCGTTGCCCCCATCGACGGTGCCACCGGTAGCGACAGTCTGGTCAGATTTTTCAGCTGGTGGAGCAGGAGGGACAGGGGATGCCGCTGCTGGTCCACTCGGCGTGGATGTTATTGGTGGTGCTGCAGGTGCTGGTTCTGCTTCTGCGTCCTCTTGTTTCGTATTCTTGTGTCCACTGACATCGACTTCACCTGTAAGTTCAGGGGGAAGGGGAAGGGAAAGAATGAAGAATACGATAAAACTGAAGTTTTGAATTGGATGCAAGGTTATGGTTGTTGGATGATCGCTTACGGTCGGCACCATGGATGCATGTTGCGACGTGAACGATGGGCAGGAAGCACGGAACGGCGGGGACTGGCGTCGGGGCATGGCACGGGGGTAGGGTGCCACCACGGGAAAAGACTCTCTCTCTCGCCAACGACACAAACAACACACAGACACAGTGTGTGTGTCTGTCTGTCTGTCGACGTCTGTCTCTACCGGCCGCGGTTGTGTCGCCCGCGACCGCGGCCGTGGGCACTCGTCTCCGGTGCCGCGTGTCCGCTACAGCTACCGCTGCCGTCGTCGCCGCGTGCATGTTGTGGCCGTGCCATGCGTGCGGAGTTGTACTGGCTGCATGCGGGCCGTATAATACGTGTTGGGCCGTGTTGGTGCTTTCTCCCCATCGGTCCTTACCTGGCGGTGCCTGTGGTGGTGCCGCCTTGGTGGTGGCGGGCTGTGCGTTTTTGTCATCGTTCGCTGCAATAAAGGGCAAAAACGGGAATTGCAAGGGTTAGTATGTACTTTTTATATTATTCGAAGCATACAGAAACGAACGTTGTTCACATATCTGCATGTTGTTCCCCTTTGCATTTTCCCTGTTACTGCGACACTGTCTGTAGTTGTGTTCTGTGTACTTATCCTGCCTCCGTCTTTCTAATTTGTTTCCTTCTGCCCAAACCTCGCCTGTCTCACCTAACTTCCTGTTCTTCGCCTGTTGCCGGTTTTTTACGTCCTGGTCTACCTTTTTTCCGAGTTCCGTAAGTAGGTCGTTGATTCCTTTCTTCAATTCATCGACTATCGGAGCAATCTGCAACGCTTGCGTATCCTGTGTATTCCCATTCCCCAGGATGTCCTCTAGGTTCCATGCGTCCTGCCACCGCTTCGTGCACAATGCATTTCCTTTTATTTTCTGTATGACGCCTTTTAATCTGCTATCTTGCCGTAACCATTGTTTGACTTTTGTATTTAAGTCAAGTTGCCTTATTTGCAAATTCGAAGATAGTTCTCTACCACATATTCCCCTCTTTATTAAACCTTCCGGAAAACCTCCGTCCCCAGTGTCCATTCTTTCCATTGTTTTCCATGCATAAAATGTTCCCCGCATACCTGGACACACGGATTCGTCTAATACTGCGCTAAACATATGTACTATGGCACATCGTAAGTGCTCTCGTATGCGTTCACTGATTTCATCTTCCGTCGATCGAGTGCTTTGTGTAATAGTCCACCCATTCATGAAAAATAAGGCCCCTGCCATAAGTACGCATATAATCTTATCCCCCACCGTTTGTCCAAAATAGATCGAACCCGCTGTAGGATTTTTGTGGTGGTCCCATGCGGCGTTATCACAGTTCGCTGCATACGATGTTATTTCCGCCGTGTCCATGTAGAGCACAAATTCCTGCATTACGTCCTTGGTCTTCTCCCACACCATTGCCTAAAATGTAAGAAACACAAGAAATATACATGCGCATGTGTGCTTGAATGCTATGTGCCCCGATGCGCTGCATTGTGTCTTATACCAATAAAGCCCTAGCACGGAACTCCCCGTGCGTCAGTTCTATGCCTGTATGTTCCTACCTCATAGTCCTCCTGTGTGGAAATGCCCGCGGCGAGTACCCATTGCACCAATGCATGCGCCAAATCTGCCGTTGCCATATTACTACTATTCACTGAAATATACGGCACCCTTATAAATATGTATAGACTAGTAGTATTCGTATTCTTGTTATATTAAATGAAGTCGCTCGTGCGTCCACTTGTAGTCGATAATGCTGCTTTTATTCTTCACTGCTGCGCAAGTAGCAATCAAATGTTCCATAAAAACAGAAAAAATAAAGCACATAAAGATAGAAGGCAGCATGGACCAAAACCAAAAATGTGCATAGGAATTGCAAATAGAGGGCACAGGGAAGAAAATACAAATAAAAAAGACAGACAAAAATAGAAAAAGGTACACTACTACTACCGTACACACGCAACGCGTCATGAATATACACCCCTCGCCCCCCTTTCTACACCGGTCTCCACTAAACGCCGTCACACACACTGTCTCTCTGTGCGTACACAAACAAAACCGCAGTATAACAACATCAATGCTGCTGGCGTCGTTGCTGCCTTGCTTCCGTCGTTGCCGACCTTATTGCTCCCACATAATATGTGTGTTACGTCCTCCCCCGTGCTCTCTGCGCCCTCTCTGGAACCCTCACTCGGCTACTTCGTCGAATCGTTTACGTGAACGCCGTAATCGAACCGCTTCACTCGGCCACGTGGGTCGACGCGTTACTCGGACAATCTGCTTTACCCGGCCGCGTTGGTCGACCCGTTTGCTAGGACAGACAAGCTGTCCTCGTTCATGCACGCGGCTACTTCGTCGAACCGCGTTGCTCGGAGAGACAATGCTCCGCCTTCGTACACTCGGCTACGTCGTCGAACTGCTTCACTCGGACAATCCGTTTACCCGGGCCGCTTTGGTCGACGCGTTTGCTCGGAGAGACAATCCCTCCCTCCTTCTTGCACTCGGCTACTTCGTCGAATCGTTGTTACAATCGGCCGCGTTGTTCGACGCGTTTGCTCGAAGAGACAATCTCCTCGTTCATGCACGCGGCTACCTCGCAGAACCCCTGCGTACACGCGGTCGCGTTACTCGGACAATGTGCTGTACCCGGCGTCGTTTGCTCGGAGAGACAATCTCTCCCTCCGTTCTTACACTCGGCTACTTTCCTCGAACCGCTTCCTCGAAGCTTCTTACGGGGCCGCTTTGGTCGACGCGTTTGCTCGGAGAGACAATGTGTACCTTCTTACACTCGACGACAATCCCGTTTACCCGGCCGCGTTTGCTCGGAGAGACAATGTCGCCTTATACTCGAATGCGTATGCGCATTCTATATTAGTTGTACACTATACCCGTAGCATGCACGTGCGCATCTTTTAATAATTAATTTCCCATAAAGGAGAATTCTACCCCGTCATATTATTCATGTAAATGTACATTTTATATGCATTTAACCGGTACGCACGTTTTCCTAGGGTCATGTTAAAAGAAGTTGAGTACACAGAAAAAGAACAAAACAAGGCAAAAGGCAGCACAAGTAAACAGAAGTAAGCAGAACAGAGCAGCAAAAAAAAAAAGAAGGTATGTAATAGTGCAAACAAGAAATATATGTTGTATGTCACATAATGAAGTAAAAGTGGTGTACGGATAGCATGCGTTATTTCCCACTCATGTGCCCCGTCGTCCGAATGTCACAGTTGCTGCAATAGAGCATCCACATATAACTCCCTATCCTGCAAACTGCGTTCGACTTTGCACTGTTCTATGACTAAGGCCAGGATCAGTGTCCATATTTTAGCGCATAGCGGCTTGTTGAGGTACAGTTGCGGATGCAGTTGCTGTGCCGGTAAATCTCTCACTCGTGGCATATGTTCTCGGCGCATGACTGTGTCCACTTCTAAGTCGTTGTCCACTCCAGGTACTGCGCGTTTGCCCGGCACTGTCTCCTCCTCTACATTATTCAACAAATGTTGGAACGACGCCTGCGCGTTATACATACGCATTTGCCGATGTTGCTTCGCGACCCATTCTTTCCATGCATGCAATTTCTGCGTTTCCATGGTTGCGGCTGTCCTGTGCTCACCGGATGCTCCGTTTGCCACCATGTGCTCGCGCAGATATTGTTTCCAATCCGCTTTTAATTGCAAAAACCACGGCTGCGTCGTGCACGCCCGCAGAATATGTTTGTTTCGGTCAATCCAAGGGATCCAATGGGTATGCCAGTCGTGGGCCGAGTTCGCCTGCCTGTGGTTGGAATGAGCACGACTCTGTTCTGCATCTAACTGTATGGATTGCATACAACTCCATGGATCGTGGTCGTGTGCATGCGGTGCACAAGGGTCCGTGGCGAACTGTATGGTTTCCATACAACGCCATGGATCATCTTCGTTAGGTGCACAAGGGTGCGTGGCTAACTGTATGGTTTCCATACAACTCCATACATCGGGGTCATTAGGGCGACAAGGGTGCGTTGCGAACTGTATGGTTTCCATACAAGTCCATGGATCGCAGTCATTCGGTGGACATGTTCCGTTGCTAACTGTATGTGTTCCATACAACTCCATGGATCGGGGTCATTCGGTGTACAAGTGTCCGTTCCGTCGGAGTCAGTGTAGGAAACATGGGTGCCTGCAGAACCCTGGTCTGACGTAGAAACACCCAAGATATGGTTATTCGTGTCCTCGTCCTGCTCCACGTCCCGCATCAAATCCTGCCCAAACTCCTGTGCAAACTCCTGCACGACAATCTGCAAATAGTCGTCTTTGACGTTTTCCCACTCGGTTGCTTCACGTTCGTGGAGCACTTCTAAGTGTATGTCGATGATGGTGCGCCTATGCACGCGTGGGGGGCGTTGTCCGCGGCGGTCGGCAGCAGACGCAGGTTGCGTAGCCCTAATCATGGTGTACCCGTAAGCGGGTGGTGGCGGTAGTTCGCCGCGTTGTAGATGCTCCAATATTTCTGCGTCGAGTGGAGGTGACGGCACGTCACGAACGGTTCGATATGTTCGTCGTTGTTGTCCGAGGTGCGAAAAGTACTAAGCAAAAAAAGGGGGTAAAGAGCAGGGTGAGGACGGTAGGAAAAAAGGAATGAACGCGGGTGTAGGAGTATATTTGTTCGAACGATCATATATGGGTGCGCGTAGGGATGTTCTGAGGTATAAACATCCGGCACATGCGGCAGTCCGTGATTGTCGTATATACTTACCTTCCAAAGGGAATAACCAAGAAGGGCGACGAATACGGAAGTGACGAAAAACAGGATGGGAGTAGTGGCGGTAAGGACGTCGGCGGTTAGGTCGGGGAAGACGGGGCCATCATCGTGCACATTCTTCGGAAGTTCCCCGTTTGGACCTGGGGTGGGTCCTGTTCCGTAGTGTCCTCCTATGTCCCTGCCTTTTGCATCAAATGGTATTGTTAGTTTAAGGTCGCACTTAGTATCAGTACTGTTGGAGGAGCAACTTGCTCCAGTATGCGTTGCCTCGTCCTTGTTACCACCTGAGGATGTTGTTCCTGTTCCTGTTCCTGTTCCTGATGTGGCTGATCTGGGCGTGCTCTGTTCCCATGGGGTCTTGCCGAACCATGAGAAGTCGTCTGGTGGAGGACTCGACGGAGTGCTCTGCGTTCTTGCGGTAGAGGATGGTTCACCATTTTCACCGGGTGCCCCGGGTTCAGTGAACAATAATGGGTCAGGTGCATCAGGAACAGTGTTGCCTGTAGATTCACCTACGGCGCCTGATGTTTTTGTAGGTGATGAATCCTCAATTGCTGTTGTCGGGGCAGGCTCCGTTAATGCTGGATCCGCGCCTGGACCTGCGGGTGCAGATGGTTCTGGTGGTACCGGGTTTTCCGGTGTACTTGTGCTTACGGTAGAATCTTTACCTATGGGTGCAGGTGAAAGAAAGAAGAATATGGAAGAAGCCTGAAGTTGTGTGCGCTTGTGGCGCATGTGTGACAACCGGGGTGCAACAGATCGGTGACCACGATCGACCGACGAAGGGCCATGGCACGGTGCGAACTGTGTTTACGGTGCCACCCCGGGAACAGACACTCTCTCTCTCTCGCACACAACACAACACAAACAACACACAACGCACACACACAGTGTGTGTGTGTCTGTGTCTGTCGACGTCTACGTCGACGTGTACATCCAGCGGCCGACCCGTCGCTGTTGCCCCCTTGCATTCTCATTCGACGTGTGGTTGCGCTCTGTCCGTGTTGTCTCTCCCTCTCTCCGGAAAAGTTGTTTCTTTTTTTGTTTTTTTTTTTTTTTGGCTTTCTTTCTCTATGCATGTACTTAAGGTCAGGGTGATGGAACCTGGGGAATGATCGTTCCCGTCACGGACGTGCTCTTATTCGTACCTTTCGGTATACCCGAAATAGAAATGGACGTTCCCTCGGACACTTGAAGCGTGCGGGTACTTCCATAAACCCCCCAGGCACCTGTTCTCTTTTCGTCCGGATCGTCCAAGTCATCTGCTCTCCCAGCATTTGGGCGTGTCTCCTGCTCCAACAGGCATGCACTAATTTTCTCATGATCATTCCCTAAGTTCGTGCAGTCTTCCCCAGTATTCTGGGATTCCCTATTGGCCCCCTCTGGGTCCGTGTTCTTTATTGGTTTCTTACCTTGGGTTCCAGGTGGGCTCTGTCCTTCTTGCTGAATCGATGGATCTTTGCCATCTGTACTTGTACTTGCAGTACCTGCACCCGTTCCAGTACTTGTACTCCCTGTACCTGAGCTTGATGGTGTCTGCGTTGGTACCTGGGCAGCTGGTGGTGGTGGAGGTGGAGGTGGAGGTGGTGGTACGGGTGCCGGTGCTGGAGGTGGTTGTGGTGGTTGCGCAACTTCCTCTGATGTTACAACTGGCACTGTAACAGGTGTGGACATTGTTGTAGTTGTCCGTGTTTCTTGTGTTGTTTCTTTTGGTTTCTCTTCTTCCGTGTGTCCTAACAATGACGGTAATATAGGAGCATATGGGTGTGTAACACGTGCCGGATGAATGGAGAGATGCAGGGGGCGCACTCGGTGGACTGCGTAATCGGTGGACCAAGGTGATAGCAGTACAACTTTTATTTGGTGTCGCCGTCCCTCTCCATCCGTCGTGGGCGCCGCTACCGCTGCCGCTACCGCTACCATCGTGGCCGCCGCTCAACGTCAACGAAGTCGTTTGCTGTGCTGCTGTTCCCGGCGTCTGCGATATTGTTGTCGTCGTCGCCGCGTGTGCGTGTTGTTGTGGTGGCGGCATCCATATTGAGCAATACGGTACGTAGCGGGTCGTATTAGTGCTTTCTCCCATCGGTCCTTACTTGACGATCCTGTTGTTGCAGCCGGCACAGTAGCCGCCGTGGCGGATGTGGCGGGCGCCGACTCCGACGTCCCGGATGGTGATGACGATGAAGATGTTGATGATGTTGCCGCCGTTGCTGTAGCTCCTGGATTTTCAGGGGCGGGTGTGGCGCTGCCAAGTGCATTATCTGTATTACCCGTTTGTGACTTGCCCGGTGTTGATGTTGTTGTGGATGATGATCCTGATGTTGTGTGTCCCCCTTGTACTCCCGGGGCCTGTTGAGTATGCCGCTGGCGTTTTATGGTTTCCGTAACCTCGTTCTTAATGTCCACAAAAATGTCCCTTATACCTTCCGTCAATTTCTTCGTTACGTTTTTGGCTTTCATGTCCCTCGTATTTCCTGCATCCCCCTTAGTCTTGCCGCCTTTTATGTTCCCGTCTTTATCCAGTTCCCAATGGCATATATTGCTTACACCTGCTGTGCGCATTGTTTCCTGTAGTCTGGTGTTCGTACTTAACCATTGTTTAATTTTCTCTTCCATGGACCATCCTCCAGCTTTAATATTTTGATATACTTCATTTGCACAATTCATCCTTTCCATTACTCCCCCCGTTGATGCGTCCATTTGTTTCATGGTGTACCATGCATAATAAATACCCCATTTCCCGCCGCATGCTGACTCCTTTAAAAACGTTGCAAACATGTTCAGTATGGCACACACCACATACTCCTTCAACCTTTCATCATTGTTATTCTCCATTCGCGTGGCGCCCGTCTCCTTGTGCCTCGTATATATAAAGAATAATGCCCCAGACATGAGCTTGCACACAATCCTGTCACCTACGGTGTAACCCACGTGCGGCTGCTTTGCATGAGTGAGCCAATGTTCCCAACCAGTATTATTACAGTTTGAACCCAATTCCTCCATAAGTGTCTCCATCTCTTCCATATGTTGAATAAACTCCCCGAGCATGTCCCCGATGTCCTTGTCTAAACTGGCCTAAAATGTATAATATGCACACGTACTGTGTATCGGCGTTCATGCGTATTCATGCGCTGATCGCATTTACACATTCACATAGCACGACTTCGATCGTGCGTATCACTCTGTTCAAAATTTCCGCATTCAATGTTACCATGATATATGCAGTAACACACTTCTACGCACATTTACACGTGGCACCAACATATATGAGCGCGTATACTCCTATACACTAGGTACTGTCTCTTTCATAATTAATAACCTGATATCGCTCATCTTGGCCGTATAGGTGCCTATCCTGCACATACTGTGCCAATATAGCCGCTAATTCCTGAGCCGACATACTGCTTCGTCTTCGAGTAGCTCCAATATTACACACCTAAGTATTGTCCCAATGTCCCACGTGAACTATATTAACCTTCACATGGCCACTCTAGACCTTGTTATATTCTACCTTTACTACTGATGAGTAATTGCTGGCCTGAACAAATAACATTAGAACATTATACATAACAAAATCCTGTTGTACCTTTGTGCAACCCCATTCGTCTACTATTATTATATTCCGCAGGAACCATATATTGAGAATGACAGAGGAATAAATATAGAGGAACCACCAAAAAAAAAAACATAACAAGACAAAGAAAGGTAGACAGGAAAAAAAAAAGTACTGCTACTACTACCGTTCACACGCACACCGCGTCATGAATAACACCCCCACTCCCCTTCTACACCGGTCTCCACTAAATGCCTTCACACACACTGTCTGTCTGTGCGCGTACACCTAAAACCCCGCAGTAACAACATCAAATTCTTCTTCCGTCGTTGCCGACGCTGTTCGCCCTCCCACATAATATGTGTGTTCCTGCGCTCCGCCTCTCGCTCGCACTGCTCCCCCTCTCTCTGTGATCCCCCTCTCTCTAGATCCTTTCACTCGCACAATCCCGTTTACCCGGCCACGTTGGCTCGGCGACACAATCTCTCCTCCTTCTTACACTTGGCCACGTCGTCGAATCCGTTTTGCAGTTGGCCGCGTTGCTCGGCGGCGCTTGCTCGGACAGACAATCTGTCCTCGTTCTTACACTCGGCTACAATGCCGTTTACCCGGCCACATTTGCTCGGAGAGACAATCTCTCCTTATACTCGAATGCGTATTCGCATTCTATATTAGTTCTGCACTATACCCGTAGAATGCACTTGCTCATCTGTTAATAATTAACTTCACATAAAGGAGAATTCTACCGCTTCATATTATTCAGTTAAATCTACATTTTATATGCATGTAACCGGTACCACCGTGGCCCCATAATTATATTAATAGAAGTGGACTACACAGAAAAAGAACAAAACAAGGCAAAAATAAGCACAAGTAAACAGAAGTAAGCAGAAGAGAGGACAAAAAAAGAACGTATGGAATAGTGCAAACAAGAAATATATTATGTATATCACATAATGAAGTAAAAGTGGTGTACGGTCAGCAGGCGTTATGCCGCATGCATATGCCCCGTCATCTTAATTGCAGAGCTTGTGCAATAGGTCATCCACATATAACTCCCTATCGTGCAAACTGCTCTCGACCTCGCACTGTTCTATGACTAATGCCAGGAGCAGTATCCACGTTTTAGCGGTTAACGATTTCGTCCTATATAGATCCGGATATAGGTCCTGCTGTTCGCGCTGTTTCACGGTGGTGGATGGTATATGTTCTTCATGGGGTACTTCTGGCATCAAGTGGGTGTCTTCCGTGTTTAGGCCGGATATGATGGCCGCTTGCACTGGTTCTTTGTTAGCTCCGGGCACTCGTTGCCCGTGTAATGTGTTTTCCTCTTCTATGTTCCTCAATAGGTATTGGAACCACTCCTCTGCCGTGTATGTACTCATTTGCCGATATTGTTGCGCTATCCACTGTCTCCACAAGTCCAGTTTCTGCCTTTCCATGGTTGCGGCTGTCCTGTGCTCACCGGATGCTGCGTTTGTCGCCATGTGCTCACGCAGGTATTGTTTCCAAGCCGCTTTTAATTGCAAAAACCACGGCTGCGTCGTGCACGCCCGCAGAATATGTTTGTTTCGGTCGATCCAAGGGATCCAATGGGTATGCCAGTCGTGGGCCGAGTTCGCCTGCCTGTGGTTGGAATGAGCACGACTCTGTTCTGCATCTAACTGTATGGATTGCATACAACTCCATGGATCGTGGTCGTGTGCATGCGGTGCACAAGGGTCCGTGGCGAACTGTATGGTTTCCATACAACGCCATGGATCATCTTCGTTAGGTGCACAAGGGTGCGTGGCTAACTGTATGGTTTCCATACAATTCCATGGATCGGGGTCATTCGGTGGACATGGGTGCGTTGCGAACTGTATGGTTTCCATGCACTTCCATGGATCGGGGTCATCGTCATTAGGTGGACAAGTGTCCGTGGCGAACGGTATAGTTTCCATACAATTCCATGGATCGGGGTCGTTAGATGCAGAAGTGTCCGTTTCTAACTGTATGGTTTCCATACAACTCCATGGATCGGGGTTATCTTCGTTAGGTCGACATGGATCTATGCCGTCGGAGTCAATGGGTGGATCCACGGTGGATGAACCATTTATCCCTGATAAACCCTGGTTTGTGCTAGGAGCATCCAAGATGCTACTGCACATAATCGGGTCCCGCATCAAGTCCTGCGCAAACTCCTGCACGACAATCTGCAAATAGTCGTCTTTGACGTTTTCCCATTCGGTCGCTTCACATTCGTTGAGCACTTCTAAGTGTATGTCGATGATGGTGCGCCTATGCACGCGTGGGGGGCGTTGTCCGCGGCGGTCGGCAGCAGATGCAGGTTGCGTAACCATCGTGTACCCGTAATCGGGTGGCGGCAGGTCGCCGCGTTGTAGATGTTGCAATATTTCTGCGTCGAGTGGCGGTGACGGCACGTCACGAACGGTTCGATATGTTCGTCGTCGTTTTTTTCCGAGGTAGGCCCAACACTAAGCACAAAAAGGGGGTAAGGGTGAGGACGGTAGCATAAAAGAAATGAATACGGGTGTAGGAGTATATTGGTTAGAACGATCATGTATTGCAGGCCGTCGGGAGTTTCTGAGGCATAAACATCCTGCACATGCAGCATGCCCGCATTGTCGTATATACTTACCTTCCAGAGGAAAAACGCAATGATGCCAATACCAACCACCGCGGGAATGATCGCGGGGGTGTACGGCTTGACATCGTCCCATGTGAGGCCGGGCAAAACGGAAGGGGTGTCAGGGGTAAGGGCAGCACGTCCACCTCCTGTAGGTGCAGTACCGTGACCGGTAGAATCGGTGCCTGAGGAAGTTGGTTTCACAGTGCCAGTGGAACCTGCTCCAGAGGAACCTCCTCCATCGCCACCAGCAACACCTGTCCCTGGATCCGGTACGCCGCTGCTGCCCGATGAACCCGATTGATTTGGGTTCGGGTTGGGTTTTGGTTTGGGTGGATTGGGAGGAGGGGGGTCATCATTCTGTCCGTTGCCGCCGCCATCAACGACGGCATCCTTGTGGCGGCCATTGCCAGGGGAACCGTCCTCTGATGTTTTTTCTGGTTTTGCATCGTCCTGCGGTCCTGGTTGTGCGGGGGGGGGTCGGTGTAGCTGCTGTTTCGGATGCTTCTTGTGTCGTGGTTGATGTTGGTTTCTCTGGCTGTGCAGCTTGACCTGGTTCTGCATCTGGGTCTTGTTGTTTCGTAGTGTTGGGTCCACTGACATCGACTTCACCTGTAAGTTCAGGGGGAAGGGGAAGGGAAGGAAGAAGGATGTGATGAAACTGAACTTTTGCAGCGGTGGTGGCACATGGTTGGTTGTCCACATGGTCCATCGCTCATGGTTGGCCACGGTGCGGACGTTGGTTGGCAAGGTGCCACCGCGGGAACAGACTCTCTCTCTCTGCCACACAACACAACACACAACACACACAACACACACACAGTGTGTGTGTCCGTCTGCATCTACGTCGACGTCTACATCGCGCGACCGATCCATCGCCCCGTCGCGCGGGCGATCGCGCTGCCGCGCACTCTCATTCGACGTTTGGTGTCTCTCTCTCCGTGGTTTCTCTGTCCGTGTTATCTCCGGAAAAGTTGTTTCTTGGTTTTTTGTTTTGTGTTTTTTTTTTTTTTTCCTGTCGTCCGTGAGCAGGTGTGCATTGCGCGTACCTGTTGGTACATTCTGTGTAGGTGTTGAGGTGCCTATGGATATTGTTGTTGAACCCGAACTGCAGGGAACACCCCACTGGCCGCGACCAGGTTCATCGGTGCGCACGCTAACATGGTGTACTTTTGGTTCCAGTACTTTGTCCAGGCAATCGCCGAGTTTGACATGGTCGCTCCCATATTTCTCACATTCTTTCTCGGTCCTGGGCGATTCCTGTTGGACACTCGTCTTGTCTGTGTTTATCATTGGGGTCTTACCTGAGTCTGTCCGCAAAGTTCCATCTATTCCTGGCTGTGATGATGGTGCCTGTGGGGGTTGTTGTCCAGGTCCTGGTCCCTGACCCGGTCCTTGTCCTTCCCCGGCTGTGCCTCCTGGGGCCGGTGGTTCCTTTGGTGTTTCCGCTGGTGGAGGTGGTTGCGTGCCCGGTGCTGGTAATACTGGGGATGCCGGTGCTTGTGGTTGCGATCCTGTTGCCGATGTTGGTGACCCTGGTCCTGTCCCTGCCGAGTCCGGTGGTGATACAGGCGGTTGTGCAGGAGGTGATGGCGCCGTGTCCTCGGTATCCTCGTTCCTTGCTACTCCTTCTCCTTTTCCCTGACTTGGTGTTCCTGTCCCTGATGCTTGGTCGCCGGTTGTCGGCTGCACCGGCTTCGTCGTCGCTGGCTTGATGGCCGCGGGCTTGGCGCCTTGTGGTGTGGGTGCTGCCGGTTTTGTTGCCACCGGCTTTGCCGCGGCACCTACAAAAACGAGAACGGAAGAAAAATCGTAGGATGATAAAAACAAAAAGGACACAAGTGGTACAGAAAGAAGGGGGCGGGGACGGTGCGGTCAGGTAGCGGCAGGTCCGGCTCGACGACGGGGCGCGACGATGGGGTCAGGTAGCGGCAGGTCCGGCTGGACGGAGGGTAGGTGGTATGGTAGGCGTACACTTTTATTTGTTGTCGCCACCTGGTCTCCGGTGCGTCGTCACCGCTGTCGTAGTGGCCGCTGCACGGTACCCTCGGCTCCACGAGGGGGTGCTGTTCCGCCGCATGCGTTGTTCCGCTGTTTTGCCCGTGTGTGTGCATGTTGTTGTGGTGGCGGCGTCCATATGCGGCAGTGTGATCCCGTGTGCGGCCGTATGATGGGTATGCTTACGAGTCGTATTCTTACTGGTCTTACCATTCGCGTCTTCCTCATCTTTGTCATCTTCGTCTACGTCCTCATCATCGTCGTCGTCCTCATCGTCGTCTTCGGAAGGAACTGGCCCCCATATCTCCTCTACTTGCTTCCCTACCTTCTTTAATATACTCGTCATTTCTTTCTCCATTGCTCCCCTCAATTGTCCTTCTTTCAATAATTCCATACGTCGCTTCCAGTGGTCAGATGTCTGTTTCCCCGTTCTTTTGCATTTTACACGTTCCTGTAACTGTTTCATCTTGGCCTTCATTGTTGCATTCCCCCTTATCCACTCAGCAAATTCTGCGCCTATTACTTTTCCTCCTACTTTCAGCTCATTATTAACCACCCAGGTACACATGTTAAGATTAACAGCATGAGTCACAGTGGCCATAAACTGGTCTAATATGTGCAATGCCTGTCGTATACCGTGATTTCTCCCACAGTTTGCTTTCATTAACTGGAACATAAATACATTCACAATTATGCACCGTATATATGTGTCTAATGGGGTTCTTGCGGCCGAAGCATCGTATCCCCCATGTTCACCCGTCCCCCATCCATTCATGAAAAATAATGCCGGCACCATCATTTTGCATACGACTGTGTCGTCCTCATTATGCCAATTTGTGATTCCTGTCGGCCCCCATCCTTTATCATCACACGATGTCACCAGTGTGTCATTATCTTTTTCCATATAGGTAAGAAACTGATCCATCATTGTTCTCATATCTGCCCATATTTGTCTCTGTAAAGGGTAAAGTAGCGACCCCGAATGTTTCAACGGCATAATGCTGCTAGTACATGACGTATGTGAATACTCATAGTTCAATACTTACTGTCCAAGCACTGATCTTGTACACACTATGCCAATGCAATATCCGCCATAGTCATATATATACTGGTAACAGACGTTCCTGGTGAGCACATCACTGCACTCACCTATGCGCTCCGTGCGCTGTGCTCTGTTGCATGATGTGCGTACCATAACCTACCTCGTAAAAACCGTCAATTCCCTGTCCTTGCCTGCGTATTAGCCACTCTGCCAGTAATTGTACGAATTGCGCTGCCATGATACTACTACATAACTAGATCACTATTCATACGCTTCGCATATCATTACAGTATCTAATGAATTTGTTATTCCCGCACGTGCTATACCGTTGACTATGACACTGCCTGGTGTGCATGAATCATAGGTTTCCCCTTTCTCATTTATGCTAGCTAACATGTACACACTACAAATTTTTAATTCATTCAACTTCTACATAGGCGTGCCATACAACTGAAAAAGAGGAACAGACTAAAAAGACTGAAGGGCACGCATAAGAAGAATAGAATGAAGAGTAGAAAAAGGGAGGAAAGAGAAACAATGTAAAAAAAGAGACAGAAATATGTACAAAAGGAAACACGAAGACTATTAACAAAATAACTGTGCCATCAGGTTATAATCCCAATGCGTAAAGTAACCTGAGTATATGAATCAGAATAATCTGCTACTATACAATATGCTGCATGTACTGCTTCCTAACGCTATATACTGCAAATAACTGTGCCATTTACTTCAATTCCCATAACGCACTTATGAAAAAAAGAAAAAAAGAAAAGAAAAAAAAAAAAAAAAGACAAGAAAAAACAGGAAAAACGCTACACCACGTCGTTAATAACGCCCCCCGCCCCCTCTGCCGCCCTTTGTCCATTAAACGCCTGTCACACACGTTGTCTCTCTGTGTGCGTACACTTAAACCCCGTGTACACCTAAAACCGCAGTATAACAACATCAATTTCTTCTTCCGTCGTTGCTACCCCTGTTGCCGACGCTGTTCGCCCTACCACAAAATATGTGTGTTCCCTGCTGTGCGCTTCCGCCTCTCTCTGATCCCGCACTCGAACCCCTTACTCGGCTACTTCGTCGAATCCGTCTTACACTCGGCCACTTCCTCGGACAATCGGTTTACCCGGCCGCGTTTGCTCGCACACAATAGCCGTGCTTACTCGGCCGCTGTGGTGGACGCGTTTGCTCGGAGAGACAATGTCTCCCTCCGTTGTTACACTCGGCTACTACGTCGAATCGTGGTTACACTCGGCCGCGTTTGCTCGCACACAATAGCCGTGCTTACTCGGCCGCTGTGGTCGACGCGTTTGCTCGTAGAGACAATCTCTCCTCCGTTCTTACGCTCGGCTACTTCGTCGAATGCTTCCTACACTGGGCCGCGTTGTTCGACGCGTGTGCTCGGAGAGACAATGTCTCCTCCTGGTTACACTGGGCTACTTCGTCGAATCGTGCGTACACTCGGCTACAATGCGGTTTACGCGGACGCGTGTCCTCGGAGAGACAATCTCGCCTTATGCGCGAATGCGTATGCGCATGCTATATTTGGTCTGCACCATACCCGTAGAATGCACGTGCGCATGTTTTAATAATGAACTTCACATAAAGGAGAATACTACCCCTTCATATTATTCATGTAAATGTACATGTTATATGCATTTAACCGGTACGCACCTGTGCCCATGGTCATGTTAAAAGATGTTGACAACATAACAAGAAACAAACAAAAACAAAGGAAAACAGAAGTAAGCAGAACACAGCAGAAAAAAAAAGCAAGGTATGGAATAGTACAAACAAGATATATATTATGTATATCACATAATGAAGTAAAAGTGGTGTACGGTTAGCATTCGTTATGTCGCATGCATGAGCGCCGTCATGTTAATTGCAGAGCTTGTGCAATAGGTCATCCACATATAACTCCCTATCGTGCAAACGACATTCGACCTCGCACTGTTCTATGACTAATGCCAGGAGCAGTATCCACGTTTTAGCGGTTAACCGTTTGTTCATGTAAAGGTGCTGATGCAGTTGCGACCGTGGTAAATCTCGGACGCTATCTTCTGCTTCCATTACTTTTTCCACTTCTAAGTCGTTTCCCACTCCAGGTACGTCGCCGTTTTGCGGTACTGTCTGGTCCTCTACATTATTCAACAAATGCTTAAACCACTCCTCCGCGTTATACATACGCATTTGCCGATGTTGTTGCGCTACCCATGCTTTCCACAACCACAGTTTCATCATCGGCGGGGTTGCCAATTCACCGAATGCACGGTGCCCGTTGTCTGCGTCTGCCGCCATGTGCTCGCGCAGATATTGTTTCCATTGCAATTTGAGGGCATTAAACCACGTGTGCCCCGTGAACTGCCGCAACATATGTTTGTTGCGGTCAATGCAGTTAATCCAATGGGTGCACGCCGACGTCGCGTGCGCGGGGTTGGAATGAGCATTCTGTTCTGCATCTAACTGTATGTGTTGCATACAACTCCATGGATCGGGGTCGTGTGCATTCGGTGCACAAGGGTCCGTTTCTAACTGCATGGTTTCCATACAACTCCATGGATCGGGGTCGTCGTTGTTAGGTGGGGAAGGGTCCGGTTGTAATTATATGGTTTCCATACACTTCCATGCATCGGAGTCATCTTCATTAGGTGGGCAAGGGTCCGTTTGTAATGGTATGGTTTCCATACAACTCCATGGATCGCAGTCATTAGGTGGAAAAGTGTCCGTTGGTAACTGTATGGATTCCATACAACTCCATCGGTGCTCTTCGTTAGGTGGAGAAGTGTCCTGTTCTAACTGTATGGTTTCCATACACTTCCATGGATCGTGGTCGTGTTCATTCGGTGGTAATCGATTTGTTGCGTCGATGTCAGTGGGTGGATCGAGCATGGAGGAAACATTGTTTCCTGATAAATCCTGGTGTGTGCTAGGAGAATCCAAGGACCTACTATGCCCGTTTGCGTCCTGCTGCAAGTCGGGCGCAAACTCGTCCACGAGTATTTGCAAATAGTCGTCTTTGACGTTTTCCCATTCGGCCGCTTCACATTCGTTGAGCACTTCTAGATGTAGCTCGATGATGGTGCACTTATGCACGCACGGTGGGCGGCCTCTACCGGATGTTGACGCAGGTTGCCTATCCCTAACTATGGTGTACCCGTAATCGGGTGGCGGTAGTTCGCCGCGTTGTAGATGGTCCAATATTTCTTCGTCGAGTGGCGGTGACGGCACGTCACGAACGGTTCGATATGTGCGTCGTCGTTTGGCGAGGTAGGCAAAAGACTACAACAAAAAACAAAAAAAAAGATGAAGGACGATGTAGAAGAGTGCATTTGGTGGTATCATCATGTAAGGAAGCTCCGTAGGAACAAATTTTTCTATGGTACATATGACTGATACGAATGCACGGGGTCTCGTGTCGTATGCGCGTTGTGCTTGCTTACCTTGCCAAGAAAAAAGAGCAGGATAAGAGAAGTGACAAATGCAAAGAAGATAAGAACAGGAGTAGAAAGGAAAATATCCGTTGCAGTAAAGATGGGGGGGATAGTATCATCAAACGCATTAGTTGATTTCCCCACGGGTGTAACAGGTTTCCCATATGGTCCATAGGATCCACCTACACCTACTGTATATCTGCCAAAATTTAAGTCCAATCGCGGCGTATCATGTCTATTTATAGTGGAGGAACCCGATGTAGAGGACGTCCCGCCCCCTCCAGCTGCCGCAGGCGGACTTGGGGCACTACCTCCGGAGGAAACAGCAGTTTGATCATTGCCAGTGCCGCCGTCAGCGGATCCGCTGCTACCCGATTGATCTGGGTTCGGGTTCGTGGTTTCTGGTTTGGGTGGATTGAGCGGAGGGGGGTCATCGTTGCCGCCATCGACGACGGCATTGGCACCTCCACCCTCGGGTTTACCTTCGTCACCGGTTGCACCTTTTTCACCTGGTGGACCAACTAGACCAGGGGATGCCGCTGCGGCTCCACTGGAGGATGTTGCTGGTTCTGGTTGTGCTGCCTTCGGTGGTGGTGCCGGTGGTTCTGGTGCTGGTTTTTGTGAATCCTTTGTAGGTGTGGTGTTTACGCCTGCAGGTCCTGAGGGGAAGTGTAAGGGAAGAAGGAAGATGATGAAACTGACGTTTTCAGCGGTGGTTGTTGATTGACTAGCGTTGACCACATGGTCGGCAACCGATGGTCTGCACCACAGTGCCAACGGTGGTTAAGGTGCCACCCCGGGAACAGACTCTCTCTCTGTCCCACACAACACACAACACACACAACTCAACACAGACTCTCGGCCGCTCAATCTCCCCCGCTTATTCTTATTCGACGTTTGGTTTCTCTCTCTCCGTGGTTTCTCTCTCTCCGTGTTCTGTCTGCGGAAATTGTTGTTTCTTTTTTGTTTTTTTTTTTTGTTCACTCCTGTGCTCTGCGTTGGGGCATGGATCCGTGTACTGTGATGTACACTGTCAGCTGAGGACAGTTTCCGTACTACTGTATAAAGTGGAATACTTAGGGCTGGTATTCCCTTTACCTTTACATTCAGGTCCAGGTTCAAATGCAATACTAACTCTTCCAGCCCCCAAGCTTTCTTCCTGAACGTCTTTGGGGCACGCCGTTTCCTTACCGTTACTTTCTGTGGGTACCGGCGTAGGCTGTTGCCCGGCTCCATTTGGTGCTGCAGCACGTGTGGCTCCTGTGGGTTCTGATGGTGTTGATGGTGTACTTGGTGGAGGAGGTGGTGGTGGTCTTGCTGGTAATACTGGGGATGCCGGTGCCTGTGGTTGCTGCGCCGATCCTGTCGGTGTTGATTCGGACTGTGACCTGCCGCCGCCGGTGTCCGCGAGTGCTGGTTTTGGTGGTTGAGCGCCTGCGAAGGGGACAAGATATGTTGACAAGGGCGAGTGTTACAAAACAAGAGGATGGATAAACACAGAAGAAAGCTATGGGGAAGGGTGGAACGGCGTGCAGTGGATGGGATGGTAACAGTACAACTTTTATTTGTCGCCGTCATCGCGTCCGCTCGTCCCTTGCCCGGTGCCTCACCGCCGCTGCCTCTTCACGGTACGTTCGTCGCTCCCGTCGTGGCTGCACACGTCAGCTTAACGAGGGGGTGCTGTTGTGGCTGCCGTTTGCGTGTTGTTGCTCACCGTTGCGTGTGCGTTGTTGTGGTGGCCGCCCTTACTATTTGTACCGGGTGTATGGGTATTCATATGCCTATTGTTGCTATTCGTGTACTTACCGCCCGCAATTTCCGTGTTCTGCTCATCCGCTTCTTCATTGTCACTCATGGTGTCCTCTTCATCGGAATCCGTCTCATCCGGATCGGTTCCTCCCTTCCTGGATATTTCCTTTTGAACTTTCTTTAGAACAGTTTTCAATCCTGTGTTCAATCTCTCCTCCACCCTTATTTTCCCGCTGGCCTTGTCAGTCTGCCTGTTCGAATCCAGCGGTCTATTGTCCTTGGTCTGCTCCGGCTTTATCTTTTTCTGACACGCGTTCTCCATTTTGTTCCTTCTTAGCATACTTTTTAGTGTGGCATTGTTCCTTAACCCTTCTTTAATCTCCTCACTCATACTCCAAGTGCCGCGCGTTATATCCATCAGTCGGTCCATCGCGCATTCTGTCGCAGCGGCTGACGTCTTTATTCCTCCGTCCTGCATCATTCCATGCACCGAGTACCATGCATAAAATGTACCCCATTTCCTTCTACACACGTATTCAAACAATATTTCCGTGAACATATGCACTACTGCACATCTCATGTAACCTTTTAACTTCATATCATTCGTCTTTTCGTCATCATGGAGTCCTGCATTGTGACTCCATCTTTTCAGGAAATATAAAGCAATTGTCATAAATTTGCACGGAATCCTGTCACCTTCATTGTGACCCACCCTCGGCGAGGCAGCCTGATCTGCCCAATGTTGCCAACCATAATTATTACAGTTTGAACCCAAGGCGTCCATATTTGGCTCCATCTTCTCCATATGTTGAATAAACTCCTCGAGCCTGGCTCCTATGTCCTTCTTTAGACTTGCCTGAAATGTATAATATGCACACGTACGCTGGATCTGTGTGCATGCGTATTCATTCACTCTTTGCATTCAAACATTCACATAGCACGACGTCGCTCGTGCCTATTACTCTGTTCTAAAGTTCCGCATTCAATGTTACAATTATACATGCAGCAACATCCTGCTACACTGATTTACACGTGACAGTAACATATGTGATAGCGTGCGTTTAGGCTTTCTCTTCTTTCTTTCACAAATTATTACCTGATATCCGTCATCATTTCCCTGTAGGCCCCTAGCAGTCACATACTTTGCCAATATATCCCCTAATTCCTTAGCCGACATACTGCTTCGTCTTCGATTAGCTCCAATATTACACACCTGAGTATTTCCCCAATGTCCCACTTGCACTATATTAACCGTCACATGGCCCCTCTAGGCCTGGTTATATTCTACCTTTACTACTGATGAGTAACTGCTGGCCGTAACACATAACATTGGAACTCTATAGAGAACAAAAGCCGTATTTGCCCTGTATGCAATCACATTCTTCTACTGTTATTAAATGCCGCAGGAACCATATATTGAGAATGACAGAGGAATAAATATAGAGGAGCACAACAAAAAGAAAAAAAGAACAAGAAAAAGAAAGGTAGAAAGGAAAAAAAAATAAGTACCCTACACTACCTACACACGCAACGCGTCATGAATAACGCCGTTACTGCACCGGTCTACAATAAACCGAAGTATAACAACAACATCAAATTATTCTTCCGTCGTACACACGGCTACTTCGTCGAATCGTTTACTCGAACGCCGTAATCGAACCGCTTTACTCGGCTACTTCGTCGACTGCTGCTTACCAGGCCACGTTTCTCGGAGAAACAATCCTCGTCCTTCTTACACTCGGCTACTACGTCGAATTGTGCTTACACTTGGCCGCGTTGGTCGACGCGTTTGCTCGGAGAGACAATGTCTCCCTCCGTTCTTACACTCGTCTACTGCGTCGAATCCTTCTTACACGCGGCCGCTGTGGTCGACGAGTTTGCTCGGAGAGACAATGTGTCCTCCTTCTTACACTCGGCCACTTCGTCGAATCGTCTACTCGAACGCCGTAAGCGAACCGCTTCACTGGGCGACGTCGTCGAATCGTTGTTACACTCGACCGCGGGTGCGCGGAGACAATGGGCCTCCTTCGTGCACTCGGCTACAATGCGGTTTACCCTGCCGCTTTGGTCGACGCGCGTGCTCGGAGAGACAATTTCTCGTCCTTGTTACACTCGACGACAATGCGGTGTACGCGGCCGCGTTTGCGCGGAGAGACAAGCGCTCCGTATACGCGAATGCGTATGCGCATTCTATGTTTGTTGTGCACTATACGCTTAGAATGCACTTGCGCAGCTTTTAATAAAAAATTTCCCATAAAGGAGAATACGACCCGTTCATATTATTCATGTAAATCTACATTGTATATGCATTTAACCGGTGCCCACCGGTTCCTATGGTCATGTTAAAAGTTGACTACACAGAAAAAGAACAAAAGCAAAGGCAAAAGTAAGCACAAGTAAGCAGAAGAGAGCAGAAAAAAAAAAGACGGTATAGAATAATGTAAACGCGAAATATATTATGTATATCACATAATGAAGTAAAAGTGGTGTACGGTCACCATGCGTTATGTCGCATGCATATGGCGCGGTCATACTAATGTGAACACTGTTGCAATAGGTCATCCACATATAACTCCGTCTGCTGCAAACGACATTCGAGCTCGCACTGTTCTATGACTAATGCCAGGATCAGCATCCATGTTTGAGCGGTTAACGGGTTTGTCATGTAAGGTTGCTCATGGGGTGGTTGCGCGCGTGGTACATCTCTCACTTGTAGCATGTCTGCTGCGGCCATTACTTTGTCCACTTCTATGCCTTTTTCCGCTATAGGTACTTCGCCTTTTGCCGGTGTTGTCGCCTCCTCTACATTATTCAACAAATGTTGAAACCACTCCTCCGCGTTATACATACGCATGTGCCGATGTTGTTGCGCTATCCACTGTTTCCACCATCGCAGTTTCGTCATGTCTGCGGATGGCATATGGCCACGCTCACCGAGTTCACTATTGCCGGATACGTCGTCTGCCGTATGTTGTTGATAATATTGTTTCCATGCCAACGTTAGCTGCAAAAACCACGGCTGCGTCGTGCACGCCCGCAATAGGTGCTTGTGGCGGTCAATCCAGTTAATCCAGTGGGTGCACGCCAACGTCTCGTCGCCGTGGTTCGAATGAGCACGACTGTGTTGTGCATCTAACTCGATATTTTCCATACAACTCCATGGGTCGGGGTGCTCGTCGTCAGGTGCACAAGGGTCCGTTGCTAACTGTATGGATTTCATACAACTCCATGAATCCCAGTCAGTAGGTGGACCAGGTGCCGTGGCTAACTGTATGTGGTCCATACAAGTCCATGGGTTATCTTCGTTAGGCGGAGCACGCTCCCGTGCTAACTGCATGGTTTCCATACAACTCCATGGGTTATCTTCGTTAGGGCGACAAGGGTTCGTTGCTAACTGTATGTTTTCCATACAACTCCATGGATCGGGGTGGTGTTCATTCGGTGCACAAGAGTCCGTTGCTAACTGTATGGTTTCCATACAACTCCAAGGATCGGGGTCGTCTGCATGCGGTGGTAATGGATTTGTTCCGTCGATGTCCGTGGGTGGATTCCGGGTTGTCGAATCATGGGTTGCTAAAGCGGCGTGCGAGGTCGGAACATCCAAGATTCTACTGCACATAATCGGGTCCCGCTCCAAGTCACGCGCAAACACCTCCACGACAATCTGCAAATAGTCCTGTTTGACGTTTTCCCATTCGGTCACTTCACATTCGTTGAGCACTTCTAGATGTAGCTCGATGATGGTGCGCTTATGCGCGCGTGGCGGGCGTCCTTTACCGGATATTGACGCAGGTTGCCTATCCCTACTCATCGCGTACCCGTAATCGGGTGGTGGTAGGTCGCCGCGTTCTAGATGGTCTAGAATTTCTTCGTCGAGTGGCGGTGACGGCACGTCACGAATGGTTCGATATGTTCGTCGTCGTCTTTGTCCGAGGTAAGCAAAGTACTAAACAGAAAAAGGGGGTAAAGAGCAGGGTGGGCACGGTAGGATAAAAGGAATGAACGAGGGTGTAGGAGAATATATGGGTTCGAACGATCATATAGTGGAGCCCGTAGTGAGTTTCTGAGGTATAAACATCCTGCACATGCGGCATGCCCGCATGGTCGTATATACGTACCTTCCATAGGAAGAATGCAATGATCCCAATACCAACAACGGCGGGAATGATCGCGGGGGTGTACGGGATAAGATCCTTGGGGTCGAAGGGTTTCGGGGAAGGAAGGGGAGGTTGAGGTTGCTCTTGCTGGTTGTTGTCTTGACTTGGACCACCGGAAGGAGAAGACCCGGTACCCGGAGTCCCAGTTGCTCCTGTCCCCGCAGAACCTGGACCAGAGGAACCGGGGTTTTGGGCCCCAGTAGAACCTGTACCAGAGGAACCACTTGCGTCCGGCTGACCGGTGCTGCCGCTACCGCTTGCACCCGATTGATTTGGGTTCGGGTTCGGTTTTGGTTTGGGTGGATTGAGAGGAGGGGGGTCATCGTTGCCTCCGTCGACGACGGCACCGTCAACGTGGGTTTTGTCCGGAGCAGGTGTACTGTTGGGTCCTGATGGTACACTAGCAGTAGGTTTCTGTGAGGGAATGTGGTCTCCTGAGTTCCCCGTTGTAGTGTCAACAGAGGGTGATGTTTTTGCAGGTTCAGCTGGTTCTGGTGGGGGGTGTGGTTCCGGTGCGGGGGCGGGTACCGGCGGTGAAGCCTCCTGACCGTTACCTGTCGTGATCTGTGTAGTTCCAGTACCTGTGAGTTTGAACGAAAAGGAAGAATATGGAAATAACTCAAGTGGTGTGCGTTGATTGGTTGGCTACAAGGTGGGCTACACGGTCGGCACCATGGTCCATCGCTCATGGTTGGCCACATGGTGCCACGGTGCGAAGGCAGGCGTGGAGGCAGGAGACGGACGGGGATGGGAGCACGGGGGCAGGAGACGGACGGGGGTAGGGTGGTTACGGTGCCACCCCGGGAACAGACTCTCTCTCTCTCGCACACAACACACAACGCACACACAGTGTGTGTGTGTGGCGGTGTGTGTCTGTCTACGTCGACGTCGACGTGTACCCGTCTACGTCTCTACGTCTCTCTACAGGCCGCTACCTTATGCGCGACTTACTCTCTTCCTCATTCTCATTCTCTGCCTTTTTCTCGCTACGAAGTTGTTGTTTTTTTGTCTGTTGTTGTTTCCCGTGTGTGGGCGAGCATATATATTATTGTGCAACATGCCTGAATAGTGTCATTACCTGAGCATCCAGGTACAGGATCAGGACTAATGCCTGAGATGGTAATACGGAGACCAGGATTCGTGGAGCTTTCATATGAAAGGTCCCTTGTGCAGTTGGGCGTATCCTTACCTGTGCTTCCTGGACTATCCTTGTTTGTGTCTGGTGCTGCAGCACGTGTGGCTCCTTGTGGTTCTGATGGTTCTGCTGGACGTGCGGGTTCTGGTGGAGGAGGAGGTGGTGGTGGTGGTCTTGCTGGTAATACTGGGGATGCCGGTGCTTGTGGTTGTGTCCCATCTGCGCCTGTGGACGGATCGTGCCTGCCTGCTGATGATGGTGAGGATGGTGCCGGGGCCTTGTTCTCGTCCTTCTTCTCAGGAATAGGCTCCGTTGGTGCCTCTGGTACCTTAGGTGGTGGTACTTCCGGTTTCTTGCCTCCTGCAAATGAAGGCGGAAGAAAGATGATAAAAAAAAAAAGGGACACACGTGGCACAGAGAGCAGGGGCGGGACGGTTCGGTCAGGTACCGGCAGGGTGGGCGTCCGGCTGCATGCGTCGATGCAGTGGGTCGATGCAGTGGGTCCAGGTGCACTCGGTTGACTGCGTACTCGGTGAACTGGGGGTAGATGGTAGCCGTACACTTCTACTTTTCGCCGTCCGCGACCGCGGTCCGGTGCATCTCTCGTCGCCCCTACCGCACACACACTCGCTGCCTTCTCTCCATCTCACGCACCACTGTCCGAGCACTATTACGCCGTGACGCCGCACACATACAGACCTCGTCTACACAGGCCCTCGCTACATAATCGTGGTCGCCGCTCAACGTCAACGAAGTCGTTTGCTGTGCTTTTCCGCCGCGTATGTGCGTTGTTGTGGTGGCATGCATACGGGCCGTATCGGACCGTACGTTAGTATTGTTACGAGTCGTATTCTTACCTTCCTTTTCCTTCGTTTGAATTTCTGCCTTTACCTTTTCCTTCGCTTTCTCAAAGACCCTTGTTGCTTTTTCCTTGACGTGCTTCCCCACTTTGTTCATTTCTTTAATTCCGCCTGGGGTCAAAATTTTCTTAATAGGCGCCCCTTCTATTGCCTTCCTATTAATATAACTTTTCCACTGCTCTTCACACGGCATGTCGCCCTCTATGGTCCCTATTTCTTCCATTATTCCATGGTCTACTAACCACTCTGCTATGTCTCCATTTATTATTCCTGGTTGCGTCTTATTATCTCCATACCCACATTGTGTGCATCTTCCATCCATAACAGGACCAGATAATATTATTTTACCATCCTTATCTTTGTGCATGTTCTTCATTGTTTTCCAAGCGTACTCCACACCCCTCTTCCATCCTGGATTATGTTTGCAATACTGATTCTTGAGCATGTATCCAAATACGTTCGCTACCTCACACCGGAACCTTTCGTACAATTTATCGTCATCCATATCTCTGCTGTTCCGTGGTATATTATCACCGTTTGCAAAGAATAGTGCAACACTCATAAGTCTGCACCGTACGACATCTGCTACCGTTTGTCCCTTATATTGATGAGCATCGTCGAAATCATCCCAACCAGAATTATCACAGTTGGCACCGTATGCATCCATCTGATCCGTGTGCTCCTGCATATAATCAATAAAGGCCTGCAATGCGGTCTTCATTTTTTGCAGTGCATCACTCTGTATGATGTACATGGGAATATGGGAATATGCATGACTACATTTCATGTGTATTTTACCCACCAGGAGCGTGGACACTCTGATATATACATGTAACTGTATTAATAGGTTTTTCTTCGTGTTCTTCCCTGTTTCCTTCACGTAAACTTACATCATAATTCTGCAGCACGTGTACGTGCCTGCTCTTGCCTTCCAATATGCTCTTCCATGGACAATCCTCTTGTTTGGTCGTCGTCGTCCCCTTCTCTGCGGCAGCACCAGACTTACCATCACTACCACTACCACCACCAGCTGACGTCGTCCCCGGTCCCGTTCCCGATGTTGCCGGTTTCGCCGCTACTGGTTTGGTAGCGTTGCCTGCTGTGGCCGGGGCGTTCCCCCCTGTACGTGCAGTACCCGCTTGTGACCCGCCTGCTTGTGTTGATGTTGTCTTTGTATCCTGTGATCCTCCGCCTTCTGCTGCTGGTCTTGATGGCCGTGGTGGCCTTGCTGTTGATGATGTTTTCACGTCCCCCTGTGACGGTCCGTTACCGCCTAGAGCCTTTGAACGGGAGTCCTGGTCGTTCTTCTCCCTATCTCTCTCCTGCTCTAATAATTTCTTTACACAATTGTCATCCCCATCACTACAAACTCCTATTCCCTTTAATATTTTCGACACTTTCACTTTTATATCCTCCTGCACGTTGCTTATCTCTTCCTTCACTTTCTCCGTCAACGCCGTACTGTGGTCCCCATCGCCTAGTGTCGCGCCTGCTTTCTTCTCCACATGACATCCTGGCCCCAACACTCCCCAATCCCCGTCCCCTAGGTTCATCTTATGGCCTTCATTCCATCTATTCATTACTTCCCAAAGATCTCTATCCTTTTCATCTCTTCCACTGCCATCTCCACCTATCCCTGCATCCTTCCACTCACACTCCACATTACCGAACTGCTGGTGCAGAACGTCCTGTACTTCTCCATGCACAAGATTAAACGCCCACAGTCCACCAGGTCGCTTTAAACAATTCATTCCCATTATTTTCTTCATAAATATATTTGTCAGGATGCATGTCATATAAGGGTCTACCTTCTCTGTATCTTCGTCCATATGCCTGCGTCTCACAGGATTCCCGGATAAATCAACTCCATGTTTAAAACGTAACGCTATAAGCGCCATCTCGCATATACCCATGTCCTCAGCAGTCCACATTTGTCCTTTAGCTACATCAGTCTCCCGTCCTATTTCACACATTGACTGCGCTTTCGTGCTTTCCGCAGTACTCTCCATATAACTCCTAAAATCCTCCCACAGTGTTCCCACATTGTTCCAGAAGAGTTTCTATGCGTACAAGATGCATCATATGTTAGGATGTGAACAATATATTTTCCTTCACTTTTCTTTGTTATATAATGCTGTACAGAATTACACTCTGCCCTTATATATATGCATTTCCCCCGTCTGAATGACGCACAGAACTTTACAATATAAAAGCATATAGGCTGCCCAGTGCAATTCTCAATGTGACTCCACTACATATGCACATTATAATGCAGCGACGCTGTCCCCCACTCTTTTATATATATTAACGTACCCTAAATTTGTCATCTTCCTTCACTCCTATTTTTGTCCTTCCCTGCTCAATATAATTGTCCCATAATAATATTAAATAGTTCCACATGGTTTTCCTCCTATTTTAGTTGTATATAGGATGCCACTATCCTTGATACTTATTCAAAGGCCACATTAACTGTACATTAGCCTTCGGAATCATATTCCACTAACAGAAACTTCTAGTCGTGCATGCTTCAAATATTACTGCGCCTTGTGCACTAAAATCCTTAACCACAAATAGCCCCTTCTACAACACTCTCTGTGCGCACACCTAAAACGAACAACAACAACATCAATGTCTTGTTCCGTCGTGGCCGCGTTGCGTCCGTCGTTTTTCGCCCTCCCACAAAATATGTGTGTTCCGTGAGCTCTCCCGCTCTCTCTGTCCTCCCTCTCTGTGATGCCCCTCTCTGTGGATCCTTCCATCAAATCACGGCACACGGACAATGCCGTACTCGAACAAACCCGTACCCGGCCGTGTTTGCTCGGAGAGACAATCTCTCCTCCTTCTTACCCTCGGCACAATGCTTACTCGGCTACTTCGTCGAGTCGCGTCACTCGGATAAGGGCGAGTACCCGGCCACGTTTGCTCGGAGAGACAATGTCTCCCTCCTTTCTTACACTCGGCCGCTTTACTCGGCTACTGCGTCGAATCGTGGTTACACTCGGCTACGTCGTCGACGCGTGTACTCGGAGAGACAATCTCCCGCCTTGTTACGCGCGGACAATCCCGTTTACTCGGCCGCTTTGGTCGACGCGTTGCTCGCAGAGACAATCTCTCCTCCGTCTTACATTCGGACAAACCCTTACTCGGCTACTTCGTCGAATCGTGTACCCGGCCGCGTTTGCTCGGCTACAATGCGGTTGACGCGGCCGCGTTTACCCGGCCGCGTTTGCGCGGAGAGACAAGTTCTCCTTACACTCGAATGCGTAGTCGCATGCTATAGTTGTGCTGCACTATGCCCGTAGAATGCACGTTTGCAGCTTTTAATAATTAACTTCACATAAAGGAGAATACTAACCCTTCATATTATTCATGTAAATCTACATTTTATATGCATTTAACCTCTACAACCGTATCTGTATAGTCATGTTAAAAGAAGTGGACTACACAGAAAAAGAACAAGGCAAATGTAAGCACAAGTAGAAGAGAGCAGAAAAAAAAAAAAGAAGGTATAGAATAATGTAAACAAGAAATGTATTATGTATATCACATAATGAAGTAAAAGTGGTCTACCGTTAGCATGCGTTATGTCGCATGCATATGCGCCGTCATCCGAAGG